ACACACACACACACACACACACACACACACACACACCAGCAGTACTTCCTACACAGCGCGAGGGGAGGAGGGAAAAAAAGGCACAAACACAGCAAGGAGATTCTGGGGAAGACTCAGGGGAAGCCTTGAAGTCCTCCCATAAAAACAGGAAGTGTTGGCTTTGGAAAAAGATGAGTGGGTCTACCTGCTCATGCTGCCACCTGACTCCAGAACAAATGGAAAATATTGAAATCGAATGAGTGAATACTATTAAAATACGAATGTGAAAAGATTATTTACAGCATCACCTCATGATATATTCCCATGTATTTATAAAAGAAGACAACAACAAAGTTTTGTCTTTGTATTTAATGTTCACAGCAATAGTATGGAAACCTCTCAATCAGAGGTTTGGGTTAACAATTTTACCCATGAAAAGTATGTTTTCTGTGCTGCGCTCAAGGATTATCACCATGAAAGGACGATTGAACTTCAAATCMGGGACAATTTGAGCGGCCATAGGCCTACTTCGTCCTAATGTAATCCCAGTTGCAGCAGCAGCAGTGGCTCTAGCAGTGGCATCAGCTGTGATTGAAGAATGCATTACTTCGTCACAGATTAGGGTTGACAATCTTGCCCATGAACAGTATGTTTTTCGTGCTGCGCTCAAGGATCATCAACATGAACGGACGATTGAACTTCAGCTCTGGGACAAAATGGAAAGACAGAAGTGCGATGCCTATCCCAGTTGCAGCAGCGGCGGTGGCTCCAGTCTCGTCCACATCCAGAGCAGCTTGGTGCACAACCTTACAGAACAATGAAGCAGAGTGAGCTGGAGGTGGGCCACATAAAGACAAAGATATGCACAGAAATGAAATGTTATCTCCACCCTTACATTTGACACCATCAGGTTTTTCTCTTCTGAAATCCCTGTCAGATCTGCCCGAGCAAACATATCTGTCATTCCCAAGTCCTTCAACACATTATTCAGCTTGTACGACGTCTTGATGGAAAACTTTGGAACATATAAGTTGTAGTGCCTGAAAATTGGGTGTAAAACAACAAGCAATTTAAGTATTGGTATAGCAAAACAAGAAAAAAATATTTAACTTCTTATTCTCCAAACCTGTATAACACACTGTTCAGCCAGTGGGTGACATGAGCTGGAGTGATGTTGTTCTCCAGAACCGTGATGCTATATGGCAACATCAGCAGCATGGAGAAGGAGTTGTTGAAAGGAAGCAGGAGGACAGATGTGCTAAGTGCTTGGTCATAGGTTGTCAGAAAATGTCCTTCCTTTTTCATCATCTGGACTGAAACCTGGAAAAGGAAAGCTTGAAACAATTATGTAAAGAAAAAAGAAATCAAACGCAGCATGAATATGCAAAATGATGCAGCACTGTTGTAACTAAAATGTGTTCAAAATAAAGTGCAACTTTGAACCTTGTTGGTTTCGTCTACATTGAACTCGTCCTCCCTGGTCATAGAAGGATCAAATGGAGTCGCCCACTTGCCTGTTTGAAAGTGATTAGAAGAAAAAAGACTTTTAGGAGTTATCCCATTGTAAAAATAATTTAAGAAACTAACCTACTACTACCTTTATAGTAAATGTAGCTGAGGAGATACATGACTGTGCCTGGATCCAGGCCTTCGACTAGCTTGTCGATCTTTCCATTGGTCTTATCTGAAACATACTTATTGATGKTGTTGGCGCTGTCTGTGGGTTTACTGAAGTCAACACTGAAACCCTCAGACAAATACGACTGCTTCAAGACATCCAGGAACTCAGGCTGGGGCTTGAACAGGTGGTCTACAAACACAGCAGTTCCTGTGTTGACGTCCTCATGAGACATTGCGTTCGAAAGGAGATTATGAAAAGCCTGGTCTACATCTGTTTGGGTCAGTTACCCAGACCACTGAAAAGCTGTTGGTGGGTCTCTCC